GACATCAGACCCAATGGAGCCGCAGAAGCTCTAAAAGATCCAACGCTAATCAGGAGCACCCACATTCCGTTGATTTTAACACCTTTGGGATTTTTGGAGTCGCTTCACCTCAGATTGTCCGGTTCTTGCCATATGCGAAGACAGAATGAGCAACTCTGAAACCGGCGGACACCGAAGAATACATATTTTAAATAAGTTGTCAAAAAATACTTATTTTTTTCACCTCTATCCATGGACGTACACCCAATCTTCCAAAAATCCGACTGGATTGCCCAAGGCAGGGCATGGGCGACAGCACCTCGTAGACTCAAAAAGATTGCTGCAGAATACTTCATGATTCCGCAGGTTCACGAACACGATCTTCTTCCCTCGCCGTTCCTCCCCATTGCACAATTGCTGGAATTCCACCTACCTCTTCAAAACACAACGATCACGGCTCCCCAGCCTGCCCAATATTTCAGTACCGTTGCTCCCGATATCGACGACGCAGCTTTGATGCTTCGTGTCCGGCATCTTGCTATTCCGGACACGAAGACTGTCAACAAGCTTCTCGCCTGCAGCCGTCAACGTTGGCTCGACGGCGTTCAGTCGCTGATGTACAGTCACCTCGGCGCTGTCGTAACTCACTTTCCGCTGTGGATCTTGACGTACTGGGCGGCTGTGGGAGATATCAAGCGAGATGCTTGGGGGCCATGGCGCAAATCCCAGGACTGGATCAGCCGCTACAAGAAAATCAGCAAAGCGAATCCTATCGGCGCTGCTCTGGCCGAAGAAGCAGGCATGATGCTCACCATGCTTCCCTGGGGCTGCCCGAAGCCACCAGGTCTTTCCGATTCGGAGCCCTTGTACACGCTTTGGCGGTTCGCTGGATCAAACTGGTTGGCAGGTTCTAACATGAATGACATGTTCGAGCTTCTCCGCTACAAAATCAATAGCGACCCGGTTTTGGTGAAGAACACCCGCGTCTGGGGAACGGCACTTATGCCAAAGATCCTTGAAGCATACCGTAAGGCAGGCGCCGGTGTGTAGTCTTGATGGAGCTCATTATCAGTACTGACCAATATTTTCAGGCACATATTGGCAGGGCCAGAATTTCCGCTGGATTCGTGATGTCGGCGATGACTTGGTACAGAATCAGGCCGCTTTGCTCACCACAGTACACCTCGGGGACATCACTGATGAGCCGCACTGGGTCAGCGTTATCTTCGACTCTCGCGATAACTTACCTATCATTCGCTACGGCGACTCTTTGGGGTCTCCGATCCCCGAAGAGTTGGCTGCTGCGTGCGGTTGGTGGCTTGCCCAGCACACATTGAAAGATGCAGCACACACAGCCCTTCCCATCGGCATACAGGAGGACGGCTTCTCGTGCGGGATGCTGGTGTACAATGCGCATCAGCACTTCTTGGATCCGCATATTCCGTTGGACACACCTGCCCACGTCATCAATGCTCGCCTCAGAATTTTGAACAAGATTGCTGCTCGGGGCCTGGAGCAAGTGAGTGAAACTACCCGTAATTTCTTCAATGCGTACTTACCTGTGCAAAAGCTTGAGCTGGAACGAACAATCGCGATCGCAGCAGACGAAGACTCGGACGATCGGTCCGAGCAAAACACAGCCACTTCTACCGCCTGTGATGCCAGCGACTCTGACTCGGACGGGCCCATCCTGCTACGTCGCACTGCGCGCAGGGCCAAGTTCACATTCATATGTACTCCTCCCCCACTTGCATCCAGCCCGGTTTCAGTCCTATCTACGCGTCCTACAGCCCACAAACGTCCGAAAGGGCATCCTGATGCCCCGACACCAAATCCAAGCCCGCAGAAGCATCGTGTATTTAAACGACAGGCAGACGAGGAGATACCGATCCCCGCCCAACCTATATTCACAGCTCGTGCCTCACCCTCCCGCTGGAGCAGTGACACCGATGTTTTCGATTCGAGAAGGCTTTGCCGCGGTGCAGATAGCGAAGACGAGATTGGCAGCGAGGACGAGTTTGACAGAGGCGACGCAGCTTCGGGAGCCGCTGACGAGTACGGCTGGGGCCCGAGGACGACGCGCCTGTGCCCCTGAGTCACAAATGAGCCAAGACGGCTCTCAAACTCAGTCCCCTTCCGCTTCCACCTCCGCCAGTGATACCTCTGAATCGGCTGACCTTCCCGCGCTGCAAGACGAACCTGTGCAGCCTGCGAAGCCAGCAACGGCCGTGAAGACAAAGATCACCGCGTTTTGGAAGGTGGAGACGGCAGAAGAGAAGGCCGCACGATTGGAGAAAGATGCGAGGGAATATGCAGTTCGCGCCGAGGATGTGCGGGCACGGGAGAGGGACATGATACGCAGAAAAAAGGCACAGGCGCGCGCTGACGGGAACGAGCGCATGCGGCGATACCGTGATCGTGCTCGCGAGGCGAAGATAGCCAACGGCTACGTGCCTGGAATGAAACGAGTGAGTGCATTAGCTTGACGGTCTCCTGGCCTAACTGACGCTTCATCGTAGAAGCGAGTCGACCTCCTCGAAGACGATAATCCCCTGGCTGCAGATCCCCGCCTCGCCGAGCTCTCGCGGCCGCTCCGTCAAATCAAGGAGGATGGCAAGAAGAAAAACAAGCCGTGCGGTCGAAAGCAAAAAGCCAAGAACGCCAAACGCGACGCGAAAAATATCAATTGGCAAAACCCCATCTTCTGGTCTCAAATCGTCACGGCGACCCGTCGTGCTGGGAGACCGTGGAAGCCCCGTGCGATCTTACGGGAGCTTCACAAGACCAACTACAAAGATTTCCAACGGCTGAGGGAGCAGGTTATCGGAACGTGGATTACGAAGGAAGACGGGACGTCGAGGTGGAAAGATACAGTGCTGAAGAGGGTCGAAGAAGGGAAGGGAAATACTCCCGGCGGCCAAACGACGCGCTGCGGGGTCCTGGTGCGTCCTTTCCCACTAACTATTGCACAATACTTACGCACTTGCCCAGTATCCATACCCGGAGACCCGCAAGAAGATCAATGACCACCTTACGTCCCTTCGTGCCGCCGGCGTCGCACTCACCTTACTCTCTATACGTGCAATCATGGTCGGGCACATCTCGAATGATGTACCAGACCTTTTCACGCGTCAAATGGGCGACGGAAGCAGCTTCCGCTGTTCTGAGTCGTTCGTTCGGCGTTACCTGCGCAATACCATGGGATGGAGTGAACGCCGTGCCACGAAAGCTGCGCAGAAGCTCCCCGCAAATCACGAGAAGGTACTGGAGGAGGCCTTCTTCCGTGAGGCTCACGTCATACGTGACTACGCCGTCCCCGCTGCTCTCCGTGTTAACACCGACCAGACCCAGCTCGTCTACCAACAGGGTTCTGGATCGACGTGGACTCAGCGTGGGGCGAAGCAAGTGGCAACAGTAGGGCAAGAGGAGAAACGCGCCTTTACACTTGTTCCCTCGATCTCGGCGAGCGGCAAGTTACTGCCGATGCAGGCCGTCTTTGTGGGCCAGACCCACTTGTCTTGTCCCTCCCCAAAAGCCGCCCGATACGACGAGGCTGTCGCGCTTGGTTACGTGATGCTGCCGTCGAAGTCGGGAACATATTGGTCCAATCTCCGCACGATGCAAGAGTTCGTCACCGACATCATCGCGCCGTACTTCAAGACAACAAAAATTGAGCTTGACCTACCCTCGTCACAAATCTCAATCTGGAGCATTGATTGCTGGTCCGTTCATAGATCGAAGGAATTCCTTGCGTGGATGAAGGCAAATCACCCCACCATCATCGTCCTCTTCGTCCCCGGCGGCTGTACGGGTCTATGGCAACCGCTTGATGTCGGCATTCAGCGCTTGCTCAAGCTCAGCGTCAAGCGCTCTGCTCATCGTGATCTCGTCGAAGAAGCGCTACGCCAGATCAAGGCCAGCAAGGCTGCGCATGAGATCAAGCTCGATACCACTCTCGGCACCCTACGGGACAGGTCTGTCGGATGGATTGTGCAAGCAATTCACGATATCAACGATCCTGTCACAATCACTGCAGTACGTCCATTTCATTTACATCTATCAGCTGGATCGACTTCACTTTCTTTTCAGGCGTTTGAAATGTGCCGCATCGGCCGCTGGAATCGCTCGCAGGCATCACTCACATCGCCCGAAGCTCTCACTGGTCTGCGGGAGCTTCGCGTCACGAACCCGGCGCTCCACGCTGCTCTTACGCATGAGCAGCCGGCGGACGATGGAGATGATGGTGATGATCCGTACCCACACACAGAGGTGTACGATGACTGTGACATCCCTCTGGAGGTTGTCTCGGAGCATCTTTCCTCTGGTGGGTCTGGCATCGCCGACAATTTCACCGTCAGCGATGACGGCGGAATCACCCGATCGGGAAATGCGGAATTGTCCGATGTCGAGGATGATGTTGATGATGAGCCTGTCGTGCTTGGACGAGGCCAGCGCAAAAAGATCGCCGCACGGCGCTACCAAGGCGCCATTTGGGAGGAGCACTAGCCAGTTTTCGCGCGAATTTTTTTGTTAAACTTAATAGCGTAGCTCAAAAAACGGTTTTCGGCACTTTGTCACCGCCAAAAAATAAGGTCTTCATAACCTGAACGTCACCGTCACTGGACCCAAATTCATTCTTTTCACAGGCCTCTGTCACCCGTAACGTGAACAAATGGTCGAAATAGTACAGTAGACTGGCTGTTCCAATTGTGGGACCGTGTCAGTATAATATATCCTCCTCCTCCTCCACCCAATTTCTTCTCTTCTTCGTGATGCAAGCTCCAAACGGAGCCGCCTCGATGGACTAGCGGCATGTCGCCCGGGAATATTCAAAGTCCACAGGGGCTTGACTCCTAGTCAGTAAAGGTATGTACAAGTGGGATATATTTCATTGAATTTGATATTGCCCAAAGGTAAGGTTTGGGAATTCAGATAAGGATCTGAAGGAATGAAGAAAACAGATGGGACAAATGGAGTGGAAAACATGAAGTATGAACGAAAGATTACCGATTGGTTTCCAATGCCCCAACAGCGATTCGAACCCTCATCTCCCAAAGTATAAATACGTTCTGTGTTGTCTAATATATCTGGGTGACATACCATTAGTCTATAAGGGCTTGATTGTTATAGATTTATTATATAGCTTGATTGTTCACAGATTTATTAGATGATACAACACATTGAATTTACATTGGACAAAGATGAGGTTGGGGAATTCAGAGTAGAATCTCAAGGTTCCAGTAATGAAGCAGAAGAAAGTGTGTAACATAATGATAGAGTATGTACACAGATGCGAAAAAAAAAGATCCGAATCGCAGCAAGGCCCTGAGAGGGATTCGAACCCTCATCTCCCAAGATAATAAGCCTCATGCAATGTATCTGGGTAACATACCATTAGTCCATTGGGGCTTGATGTTCCATGTTGTTGTGTCAGATGGACCTGGATGTACTTACGTGTTACATCACATAAGAAGAGAGTATACGAAAGTTTAGATAAGGTTCTCAGTGAATCAGATAGGCTTGGGTGGATGGGGAAACGAAAGAGGGCGGTTGATACAAAAACAAAAATCATAACGCTCACACTACATGCCCCGAGAGGGAGTCGAACCCTCAATTCCAGAACGAATTCTTCAAGGATAATTCTATTTGGAAACCCGGTTCCCGGCGGAAACCCCTCGGCTATCAAACATGTTATCTGGAAACCCAGCTTCCACAGGAAACCCCATTCTCGGCACCAGCCGGCAGCTCGGCAGATCAAATCAAATGACGGTCCCACGGTTCTATCTGTGTACGATTCATTTTACTTATTCCGCATAACAATCAATCAACTCGAGTACGCCGGGCACCCCATATCCACCTCGTTGGCGCCCTTCTTCGGCATTTGTAATGCGGGGGGTACGCGGCCGGCCCTTGTGGTAAATATGTAGCAGGATCGTCGATGATCAAATTTTCTCGCTGCGAGCTTCATCTATGTTTCGCTGACTGCAAGAATGTGTTGGCAGCTATGGATAAGGCTGGATAAAAATATGAGTATATTAGAATATAATCCATTATAATCCTAAAATTATGATTAAATATTGGCGGGGCATAATTTTAGGCTCTGAGATTATCAGCCATTACATTATGTTACAGTATGATTATACTACGATATAGCCGCAGTATTTAATCATAATATTAAGGCCCATCTGGGGCGATTTTATCGAGAATTCAGCGCCATAAAATGGTTTATGTTCCTTCCAGTGCAACAGAGTAAGTTGATACACTGAAACGATGCTAACAGACTTATGACAAGCCAATTTCAGCCCATGTTTGATATTGTTTAGCCCCAAAATTTGGGGTGAACTTGACATATGAACATTCAAAATCATGGGAATATGTTGAACCTTGAATGAAAATTGGTTTTGAATGTGTCTATGTAGCACCCATCTCGACTCAACCAACATTCAGATTTGAAAGCATTGTGGGCCCATGCAAACCAAAATGTGTGATGGTGCCAAGCTGAGGTGACAGCAAGGTTGAAAGAGCATACTTATGTTATCAAACCAGAAACAATGGCTCTAGGGAGGTTTTCGAATAACTTGAAGGTGGGAAGCCAGAGAAAAATTCAGATAGCAGAAAATTTAGATTAAATACAATTAAATACGATCGCCCGAGTGGACGACGAAGCTCGGCTTCTGCGAACTGGTGCTTGACGACCGAGTGCGCCAAAGCACCAGTGACTGAACTCACGTCCGGCGGGGACTCAGTCCGAGTGGGTTTAGCCGAAATGCGACTCCCGAGTGGAGCCCGAGTGTATTCAATAGGTACGTGGATAGGATCGTAAAGTAAAGGAGGGCGGTAATGTGGAAACCGAGCGAGGAGGCAACGAAGGGAGGTGGGGGAGGAGCCAGAAACCGGGGTACCTACGGTACGCAGAACTAGGGTAAGAGGTAAATGAAAATGACAAGGGTGGGTAAAGGCACGAAACTAGTGACGCGTGAAGAATTAGTTTCTGCGGAAATATTAACGCGCCGAGAATCCTGTACCTAGTGACGCGTGAAGAAACGGGTAGAGCAGCGGCTCGGGGACTTCAGCAGTTCACTAGGTGATTCTACAACCAGCTAGACACGTCTCAGCCCGGTTGTGTGAAGTACGAGGCCCCGGCCGTACGTACTTGGATTGATTTGCAGCTGACGGTCGACGCGACTGCGATTATCAATGCGGGGGTTGGTTTCGGCGTGGAATCTGAGACAGAAAGTATCTCATGTCAGACTCCCGAAGCCCAACGACCAGTCTCTATCGAGAAACTTACCTAGGACGAGCACGAACGGGAAAGGAAGGTGAGCGCTCCTTTCTCGCCTCGTCCTAAGTATAAGCCGGGGAGGGACTAAGCGCGGTGAGACACAAGGAGGCCCGGCTCCCTATTGTGCTCGCTTGGCCCTCCTGCTGCGACGATCCAACCTCAGCGCGTAAGACACGCTGAGGTTGGTGGAGACAAGACAGACACGGCGATCAAAGACTCGGGAATCCCAGTCGATCGCCGTGCTGATTGCCTGTGTGAAGTCGGCGCACGGGCCGATTAGACTCGAGTAAACATTATTTTTAAACACCATAAATTAAGATTATAATACATTACGATACCCTTATGATTAAGTATAGGCTCAAACCTTAAGATTATATTATGATTACAGTACATTATGGCCGGAGGGTGTATTTAATCATAATGTTCCAGCCTTAGTATACTCTCTTCTTAACTTATGTGATGTAACACGTAAGTACATCCAGGTCCATCTGACACAACAACGCGGAATATCAAGCCCCAATTAACGAGCAGTATGTCACCCAGATACATAGTGAATAAATCCCCGTACCTGTATTTTGGGAGATGAGGGTTCGAATCCCTCTCGGGGGCTCTCGACACTTCTTGTTATTTTTGCATCTGTATACATACATACTCTACCATTACATTACATTTCATTCCTATCCATTTTCTTCCACTTTATTCCTTAACAGTCAAGCCCCTATGGACAAGTGGTATGTCGCCCAGATATGTTGTCAGACAAACATTTACACTTTGGGAGGTGAGGGTTCGATTCCCTCTAAGTGCATGGTCAATGAGAGTGTGATGTTTTGTTCATGAGGCACACAAGATCCTTGTGTATACTTTACTAGCAGTTCACCCGTGCTACGCCACGGCATGCAGAAAATTTATCAAACCTGAGTTCATAGACGTCCTTGAGATCTGATTGGGTCGAGACCGAGGATTCATCGTGAACCTAAGTACTGTATGGTTCATTCTTCTCGGTCTCATCGGGTTTCAAATTCACCTTCTTTGGTTCTTGCTTTCTGCCATGATCAATTTCATTTAGTGCTGTTTCACCCTGCTGGTTGACAAAGTGGTCCCTCCTTGTTCTGTGCAGGAGGGTCCTGGGTCCTTCTTTGCACTCACAAAACAGCCACCGTCTTCATATTCAACAGCTTCCATTCGTCTGGGCAATCTTAGGAAGCACGACAGCTTTCAATGTATCTGAGCTCGTTCGGTTGGTTTCCGGTGCACATTTCTCAAATCCGCACCTTGCTTCATGAGCACGCGTTCGACATCTCATTGATTTATGATTCACAGACAAGGAATTCAAGTTGAACAATTCTGTCTTCCGTTCCCGTTGAGCCTGCCAGGATGAGTGTCTATGAACGGTGAGCTAGATATTCAATTGACCATCACCACATTTATAAATATGATCTCAACATCTGGGCGGAGAAATTCAACATTTCAGTGGAGCGAGTTTGAGAATTCAACATCTGGACGATTTTGTGGAGCAATTGACAGCATGTGGAGCTCCGGACCTGCGGTCCGATTTGTCTGTCCAGAGACAAACGACGTTCGATTCTTATATAGATGTTTTCTTACACATACCGCCTAATAGCTTGCAACATTTACTTACAAGATGTCTAGCCTCTATGGACAAGTGGTATGTCACCCAGAAATATTGGGCTATAGTCAATGAGTTCTTGGGAGATGAGGGTTCAATTCCCTCTAGGGGCATTCACGGAAGGCTTGATTCTTTTCTTTTCTTCTTTTGATCCACAACATCTAAAAATCCACGCAGATCCTTCACTTATTTCATGAATTGAATCATGATCTCATACACCTTCATTTTTTTACTTCATTAGAGGAGTGTCATGAATCGGACCAGCGCGTCCTTTTTTCATGAAGAACCCGTCGACGCATAGCGACACGTCGACGGTCACGGCGCACACGTGACAGCTGTCAAGTGCAAGTACCCACGGTTGGAACCTGGACGCAGGCGGGTTCCTCCACGATGAGACCAGAGGGGCGATACGCCCCCGATTAGAACCCGAACGCAGTCGGGTTTCCCTGTATTCGGACAGGGACGACAGTTGAGACCAGGGGCGGAACCCCTGGTATGGAGAGTCTTACAACTCTATAGAGAACCCCATAGAGTCTCGCAACTCTATGGGAGGAACCCCTACCGCTCCAGGGATCAGGGCATTGTATTGCTCCTGAAAGGAGGCACAAGGGGCACGATCGGAAAAGTCTATATATTTCTAAAAACATATATAAGATAGGTAGAATCTCCCTGTACTGTAGATTCTACCTCGTCTAATCCCAGGCTTTTACCTTGGCCTGTCTTAACGATAAAACCTACACTCTGGAATCCTTCTTCCATTCCATACTCCGGGTCTGTACGCGACCCCAGGTTGTAATACTCAGTGGATACCACTCTACCTTCGGTTCATTCCGAGTTCCCCCTCCGCCTATTACGAACGCCATCCGACCTCCGAACGAGGACGTCGTCTGACTAATTCTATTACTGGGAGAACGCACCAGTTATTGAAAGACGCGAGACCACGTATCCCGGTTATCACCACAAAGCATCTCGGGTTGTTCACTGTCGGGCTGACTTGAAAGCCGTCGCTGACAAGGAGTCAAAGCTCAGAGTCAGTAACGGTTCTGACACGAACCAAGAACCAATTCACACAAGTTTATACACCGCTTCTGGATAGAGAATTGAGTTTCTTGGTGATTCATCAAGAATCTGTGTTTCGCCTCTGGAGGCAAAACAGCAATTCGTGCTGATTCTTGAAAATCATTGATTCTTGATCAAGAATCGACATATAAATCATTGCTAGAATCAGTGCTGATTTTCAGCTCTGACTTCCCCTAATGGTTTCCAATCTGAGGTGCCTAAAACCTTCCACACTTTTCATTCCCTGCATGTTCTGTTGCCTTCTTCTTTGAAAACTTTATGTGGATTCCCAAACATTTGTGTGATGTCAATTCAATGCAGCATATCATCGGCTACACCATTAGTTGGCAATCTCCACTGTGAATGCCTGACAAAGCTTGATTGAAGCCCCCATAGACTACTTAGTGACATGTCACCTGGAAATCATTGGATTTGACTATTCAGGAGCTGAGGGTTTGATTCCCGGTGGGCGCATACAAATGTTTTGACTACATTACCTAAAATGTTCTCCACATCCACCAGTCCTCACATTCTTGTATGTAGCATGCCCAATTCAAATAAGCCCCAATGGACTGGTATGTTGCCTGGTAATGTAGGGCAATAAAGAAATTTCATTTAGGAGGTGGGGGTTCGATTCCCTCTAGGGGCATTGGTGTATACCTGAGTTCTTTTGTGCAAAGTGCACAAAGATCCATGTACATTTCTTTTATTTTCTTATCCAGCCCCATATTCCAAATTTTCCTTGGCATGTGATCTATATCCGAATTCCCAAACCCCTCATCTCATGGAGCACCTGAATATATTCCACTACCATCTCATCAAGCATGCTGCATCAGGCCCCAGTGGACTAGTGGCATGTCACCTGGCAATACTAAAATAGACCCACACAGGAATTTTGGGAGTTGAGGGTTCGACTTCCTGTTGGGGCATGAAAAATGAGAAGCTACAATTTTGTGGCCAAGCCACAAAACCCTTCTCTTCTTTTGTTTTCTCAATCAGCCCCTAAAATCTCCTTTCTCATTCACTCGAGAACCTTATCTGAATTCCCCCATTGTAATCTCTTCTCAATATCGAATATAAGTCTCAATGTGAACTATAAGTACATTCAACTCTTATCTGGCACAACAAGATCTTCCATTCCAACTCCAAGCCCCTATAGACTAATGGTAAGTCACCTAGCTACGTTGGAGGTTGTATTTATTATCTTGACTCTGGGAGATGAGGGTTCAAATCCTTCTTGGGGTATGACAAACAAGAGCATGATGTTTTGTTCATGCAGCACACAAGATCCCTGTTTCATTATCATCAAGCTGTAAACCCGCCGTGTCTACAACTCACATGATTGACGATCAATTACTTACATCATCGACTTTTCTGACTCTTGACCGCTATCTTCCTGTATACTGCTGCACTTTAAATCGATACACTGGTTCTGTTTACCTCTGCCTGAATTCTCTAGTGTTTCTCTCCAGGACATCCTAGTGAGTTTCCACAAGCGATATGTTCTTTTGCTTCATTACTTAACAGCCTTATCAAGTTAATCCAACCCCCTCACCTCCACACAATATCTAAACCATATTCAACTCACACTACCTAATAAACATAGCACCACTGTTAGGCCTCTATGGACTGGTGGTATGTCACCCAGAAATGTTTTCTTGACTAGGTTATTGGCAGATGAGGGTTTGATTCCCTTATGAGGCATTGTCCATGATAGAATTATTTTTGTATCTCAGATGAAATCTATGTACAATAGGGGAAGTCAAAGCTCAGAATTGGCACTAATTCATGCTAAAAAATCAACTGAGAATCATTGATTTTCAATAATCGGCATAAATCATGAGGAAACCCGGATTTTCATCAATTCTCAATGAATCACCAAAAACCTGATTCTCCATTGATTCTTGGTTGAGAAGCAGCATATGAACTCAGATGAATCAATCTATGAATCAACATCAGAATAGCGTCAGAATGAGTAACAATTCTGAACTTTGACTTCCCCTACTTATTGGATGAATCACACTGCCCATATACTTTACTTTAGGAGATGAGGCATGTGATAATATGGATCCACGACCGGGTGCTCACTTCGAAGACGAAAAATAAATTGACAAGACCCACGTGATCTGGGTGGCACTTCAGAAAACATTCAATTCTTGGTCAATTGGACTACACTTTCAGATTATTAATTAATGTAGCGCCAACATACCCAAATCATATTCCCCAATTCTAGAGGAATCAAGAACACTTTGAGTGAGTTCGGAGGCTGTCTTTGGGTGCCATCAAAAGGACAAAGTAGAATTTGTACTTGTTTACAGACAGATTTTGTCTTTAGAGAATAATTGCTTGCTTCGCTCGCAAAAAGAAATCCATGGTTTTTTGATATAGAATACATTCCCTCAGATTCACATCTGAATTCCCAAATCTCTCATCTCATGTAGCATCCAAGTATATTCAACATCTAAAGAACAACACTACAGCATGTTTATATTATCTCAAGCCCCTATAGACTAGTGGTATGTTGCCTAGATATATTTAACATATGTTTCGCACTTCTGTCTGGGAGTTGAGGGTTCGACTCCCTCTCGGGGCCTGTGAAAACCAGCTTCACGCGTTTGATGCCAAAATCACGCAAATCCTGCATTTCCACCGTCATGTTCTTTTGCTTCACTCCTTGAGAACCTTATCTGAATTCCCAAACTCCCTGCAGCATTCAATATATACAACTGCCAATAATTTACAGCCCGTAACATGGATTAGCGGCCTCTCCGAGGCGGGCGCCGAATCTGTATTAGTAGCCAAGTCTGTATTAGTAGCCGAAGGGATAAAGGGTGGTCCTGTTGAGCCCGACAGCACTACTGCGAGTTTTTATTAGGCAATAATATACTGACATCCTACGGTTTGGGAATTCAGAGGAGGTTGCGATGATCCAAAGAACCTGTGAATGGGAATGGAAGACATACATGGATCTTGTACACCCGGGATAACAAAAGCCTCATGCTTTCCCAATTGAATGACCCTAGAGGAAATTCAACCCTCGGCTCCCGGACTCAACACCAAGCCACTCCTGCCAGTGTTTCCGAGTGATATACCACCAGTTTACCATCAGTACCGCAAGAAATCAGTAAACGACGAGCGGCAATACCGGCGAGACGATGAGGAAAGTGAAATGAAGCCGTCGAGTGGGGCGGGGCCGCAGTTGTCTGCTGTGTGAGTGCAGAACGTTGTTAGTTTTTTTGCAGTGGGAGGAGCCGAAGAACCAGGCACACCCACACACCCGTTCAACGCAACGGTCACTGTGTGCTGCACACATCAAAGTGGCCTTTCTGGTTGTTCTTGGGAAGGGCGGCGAGGCCGATGAGGAGGAAGTGCGGGAAGGAGCAGTAGTTGGTGCTACGGATGTTCCCGCCGTTGGATTGGTTGGAGTAAAAGCGGGTTCCAAGGGTAAGGAGCTTTTTCGGAGGCCTCTGCGCTCGACGAACCGCTCCTTGGGGCTTCGGCGCCGCCGACCCGACCTCTGCACCAATCAGAGCTTTGCTCGTACGCCGCCACAGGGGCTACGCCCATCATCGGAACTTCGGGATCGAGTTCCGTGTCTCGCTGCTATAGTTTTAGTGGAGGGCGAGGCATGGAGGGATCACTCGATTTCGGAGCGCCGCCTGAGCTTCGCTCCTTACCGCCACGAGCTTCGCTCCTTACCGCCACGAGCTTCGCTCCCTACCGTCCTCGAGCTCCGCTCGCATTTTTCTTGCACCCACCCACCACTCCCTTTTCCTCAAAATTGCCGAAGCTGGAAGGACAACCACAGTTGATTGGGAGAGCATATACATACATTTTAGTAACTAGCCTACACGCTCGTCCCTAAATATATCGGGAGCCGCTTTTGCGGTTGCTGTTGCTGCTACCTAGGTTCGACCAACGCAGCAGAGGCCGCGCCAGTCTGTGTGCGGAGTGGGTGAGTAATGAAACCCCAAATCTAAAATTGAATCGAAACCGAATCAAAATAAAAAACCAAACCCCAATTTGAAATCGAAACAAAATCACAATCAAAATCGAACTCGAAAGGGAGAAAGAACCTGCCGCTCCCGCCACGAGTGGCGGGGTGATGTGTTAGCGCGTTGTACTACCCCTCGACCCCTCGAACTCGAGGAAAGACTCAACAAAAAAAACTTCATTCGCAAACTCGAGTCGTACTGCGAGCGGGGGGCGACCGCCTTCTCGGGGCGCACGGGCAGGCACCACCGTCTCCGAGCAAGCGGGGACGACCCCACCACTCGCAGCGACGGAGCTCCGTCGCACTGCCCATCGCAGCAGGGAGTTGCACGACGCCTTGCAGCGAGGGAGTCGTATCCGCTCACAAGCTTGAGCTCGCGAGCCTCGAAATCAATCGAACTCAAAACAAAAAGAATCAAAGCAAGCAACGTACAAACACTTACCTTCCCCGACATCAAGACATCCACAAAACACGAACCCTTTATTGCCGCTGCGCCGGTGGTGGTAGACCCAGACGCGTCCGCGAAGAAACGAGGTCGATTGTGAATCCGGAGGACTGTGTGCCGCGTGAGTTCATATACCATATCATATATAACGAGGACGGAATAAGATGAGAAAATGAGTGGTGCAGGGGAAGGGAAAAGAAAGCAAGGCAAGGCAAGGAAAGGAACTAGGGCACGCAAGAGAAGACAAAACAACTCACGCGGCTCATCGCGCAATGAATCCCTCGGCCTGCGCTGCCGACACGCCCCGCCTGCGAAGAACGCGCCCGTATTGGGCGGGGAGAGCGCGAATAAATGGGGGTGGGTAAGTGTGAGGGCGGTGTTCTGGTCCGAATGTATTTTAGCGTCCAGGTCGGAATATGTTGTAGCGTCCGCGTCCGAATCCACGCCGAGATTCCATCAGTAGGCCAGTCGTCCTAGAACAGCGGCCCGACGTCGAAGACGACGAGCCGCGCGTCGCACTGCGAGTGGGTGTAAGTGCAAGTGTGAGGGCATGGAATGAAAGGAAGAGGGGAAAGGCAGGTGGTACGTGCAGAAGAAGGCAGCAATACGAAAGGGTGGACGACTGACTTGATTGATTGTATCCTCTCAGGCATCGCTTGCCTCTCCGGCTTGCACACGCGGCCGTTGCGGATGGTGAGCGTCGCGATGTCGTGTTGCTCTCACGAAAGCTGTTCAACTGTGTCCGTTAACCGCATTCCAGCAAAGTAAAAGCAACGAACGCACCTTCGCGCGCGGCCGTCGCGGATAGCGAACGTCGCTCGGATGCTCCGTCGAGCGCCGCGCACGTGCACCTTACTAACCGCATTCCAGCAAAGTAAAGTAAAGCAACGAGGAGAGGAAGGTAACGCACCTGTCCCTCCATCCCCCTAACCCGCTCTCAAGCCACCCCCTGCCACCCTTCCTCACCGCCTTCCAAAACGACTCGGGAGGATCGTCCTCGAACAGAAATCGAGGACGCGCGGCTCGTCGCGGCTGGAGATGACGGCGGTCATGGGGGGGATGTGATGGCGAACTGCGAGTGGGTGTAAGTGTAAGTGTAGATTTAAGGAAATGAAGGAGGCATGCAATACGAAAGGATGGAGGACGCACCTGATTAATCATATTCTCCCAGACGTCGCCTGTTTCTCCGGCTTGCACGCGCGGCCGTCGCGGATCGTCAGCGCCGCGACGCCGTATTGCTCGGTCGAGAGCTGTGCTAGCTTGAGGGAAAAGGACGCACAAAGGTAACGGCGAGGAACGCACCTCCCCCTCTACCGCCCTGAGCCGCTCCCAAAACCACTGTGCCTTACCGTCCTCCAGAATGGCGCGAAATCGCGCTGCACGCTCTCCTATGCCGCAATTACGCACTCGCGCTCACAAGCGAACGCCCAAAAACGCGTCGTACGCGCGGGGAGGCGGTCAGCCGGTCTTGAGTGCGTAGAGCGCGCGCGCAGACGCGAGGAACTCGGAGGAGACGTCGCGGGTGCGGAACGATGCGAGGGACACGGAGGCGAGTGTGTGCAGTGTTTTACGGTAGTCGAAGGTTGAGGACAAAGGCGGATGCGCGCCTGCATGAGGTGGATGCGCGCAGTGTTCCGGGACAGGGGAGGTTGCGTGCTAGCGGGTTGAATATAGACGAGGTGGACGACGGAACCAGCAGCGGCGAGGAGGATGAGATCATGATGGGTTCGACGTTGGCGGCAGCGGAGGCTTGAGTGCGAGGAGGTTGCAATGGCCGCGCTGCAATCGAGTCCCTGGAGCGTTGAGACTTCTAAACGAAAGAACCTACGGATCACCACAATACGCCTCATCGCCTCTTGTATGTAACTGTCGACGCAAAGCGCGTTTCTTCACTTCTCTGCCTCGCGCCTCCGAACCGCGGCGTGCGCACCACTCGCGGAGACGGACCGCCATAGCCTTCGTGCCTCGGTATCCCTCATCAATCCCTCATACTTCGCAATTCTTCCTATCTCGACTCCTTTGTTCGAGTTGGGGATCTTCGTTCTCGCTCAATTCTCGCTGGCGCAGGGAAAGAACGAATGAAAGAGGGCACGTGTTCTGACGTCAGTCGCTGACCACGAGTGCGTAACGGTAATGCAAGCCAGGCACACGTATCCGCGCTCATTCAAAAAGCCCCGATGGACTAGTGGTATTGTCGCCCGGTAAAGTTGGATATGAGATAAATGTGACCCGGGGAAGGGGGGTTCGATTCCTCCAAGGGGCATTGGCATTGTCGAAGTCGAAATTTTTTACGCAGGGCGCACAAAGATCCATGTATACTTTACTTCATTTCTTTCATTTTCTCATCTGCGGCCGTTGCATCCTTCTCCCCTCACATGCATATCTAAAATTTCCAGCCCTTGCATGTAAGTAATTCAAGTGCTATCTCACACCCCACATGCAATATCTCTCTTCGTCACAGTAAGCCTCTATGGACAAGTGGCATGTATATTACATAGACTTGCAAATCCATTTGCGAGTTGGATATCGATGAGGGTTTGATTCCCTCTAGGGGCTTGACAGAACGATTGATTTGTTTTATCCCACCTAAAATCTACTCAATCATACTCAATATCTCATGCATCTACATCTTTTACTTTACTCTCTGCGAACCTTACCTAGAATTAGGAACCCCTCATCTTGGTGCAGTGCATAATCATATTAGATGGATAATTCTATTTATTAGATTACTATCTAATAAACTAACAACGAAACCCAAATCCAGATCCAAACACAAACCCATACCCAAACGCAAATGGAGACAGAGAGCGGACAACCCTCAAATTCAAATTTAAAACAAACCCAATCCCTAAATCGAACCTGGATCTCGAAACGAGACGAAACGAGAAACGGAAACAAGAAGGAAACCAAATCGAGATCGAAGCAAAACCCAAACCGAAACCCAAACCCAAACCGAAACCGAAACCCAAAAACAAACAAAAAAGAAAAGCAAATCGAACGAAAACCACTCACACAGCAGTCCCTTCTTCACATCGTTCGGGTGCTCGAACGTGCCGCCCATCATGGTAGTACTGAGATCAAGGTATGCTAACACACAGTTCCTCTCAAGCTCGAGTGGCCGGGACGACAGCGGAGTGACTTGCACCACTGTCTCTTAAAGACGGAGTTGCATCACAGCCTCATAAGCTCGAGCTCGCGGCCCTCGCGAGCCTTGGAACTAAACTTTAAAGCAACGACCGAGCGAATGAGCGAGCGAACAAGCGAACGAACCAAAAAGATGCAACGAACGGAGGAACACTCACCAGGTCCAGCATCAACACCACTCGTTTCCCGCCGCTGCGTCGGTGGTGGTAGACGCGACGCGTCTGCGAGCCATGCTGGGAACGGGGACGAGATCGGTCGCGAACTTGGCGAAGAGGAGGACTCTGTGCCGCGGATTAGCGTATCAAATACGACGAGGACGAGAAAAATGAGTGAACAGAAAGTACGAAACGGAAAGGAAGGCAAGGGAAGGAAAAGGAATCGAAGAGAACGTGAAACGGCTCACACGGCATATTTTGCACCACACCCTCGCCACTGGTCGGCCGACGCGCACCGCGCGCCGCGAAGAACGCGCTGGTGTCGTGCTGGGAGAGGGCGTCCAGCTCGGATGATTTTAGCGTTGAGGCCGGAGTATATGTTAGCGGCGTCCATGTCGCGATCGGAGTCGGCGTGCATTCCAGAAGATGATAGCGCAGGGTTCGGAGGCGTGTCCTCGAACGCGAGCCGACGTTGAACTTGTCGCGGCCGGAGCTGAGGATGGTCATGGGTGGGCGGCGGGCGGCGAACTGCGGGTAGTGTGAGTGTAAGTGAGTGCGAGGAAATGAAATGGAAGGGAGAGTGAAAGGCAGGTGGTCCGTGCATAAGAAGGCAGCAATACAAAACTTGAAGGGTGGAGGACACACATTATCAATCCCATCTCCCACTCCCTACCAAAATACGTCGGCTTTTTTTCTGCATTGTGCGCGAGGCCGTCGCGGATAGCGAACGCCGCGACACCGTATTTCTTGCTTGAGAACTGTGCATATGCATGCCCGTTTAGTAACCGCATTCTAGCAAACTTCAAAGTAAGGCAACGAGGAAACAGAACGCACCTTCGCCCTCCCACTGTTCCTTACCTCCCGTCCAAAACGGCGCAAAATCGCGCTGCACGCGTCGTACCCGCAACCACGCACCCGCACCGCTCGCGCACAAACACCCAAAACGTGTCGTAGGTGCGAGCCGGTCGGCTGGTCTTGTGCGTGTAGAGCTCGCAAGCAGAGGCGAGTGTGTTTCTGCGGCGTAGGTTGAGGACAAAGGCGGCCCACCTGGTGGATGCAGGTACCATTGGTCTCCATGAGCTGGCGGAGGCAGCGGTGGGTGTGGGTAATGCAGGTCCGAGTGCTCCGAGACGGGCCCGGGCAAGCCCGCGCTGGGGTCAAAGTACAGGCACATGGAGCCAACGAGGAGGACGATGGCGGTGACGGCGGCGAGGCGTGTTCGACGTGGAGACTGGAGTGCAATGAGGAGGTCGTCACGGCCAGAAATGGCCGCGCGATAGTCTCTTCCATGCAACGTCTTCGCAGCGGCGAGAATGTAGAGATGACTGTCAATCTCTCAGCCAGCTTTGCTTTTGGATACATGTTTACTTTTTTTCGTGCTTCACCAGTAGAGATAATGACTGGGATCCGCTCGATTCTTGGCGGCGTCCAACTCTTCGTAAGTACCTCCCATGTCGAGACTCGACGACTCGAATTGCCGAAAGCCATATTCCTGCCCAATTCGTGTCCGGCGGATCCTACGATTCCTGACTAGGGCTGCCGCCCGTTGCCGTGGCCACGGTTCCACGGCACCCGTGCCACGGGTGTGTTAGAGATAGTGCTTATTTGCAAGTCTTGAGCAATAAGCGACGAGTTGAGAACCGTTGCGAGAGCGACGGTATAAGAGTTGAGTTACGACGAAACCTCAAGAATCAACTAAGAACACTCTGTTCTACTAACGCTACCGAATATCTCAGCAGAGCTTGAAATATCGGCGCTAACGTAGTACTGAATGAATCTAAATGTGCCGAGCTACACTTAATTCACGCAAGATATAAGGGTGCAAAGTCAATTGATTGACGGTAGAGTTACTACAAAGATGGGATAAAAGATGTCTTCCCGAGAGGGAAGACACCTCCTTTTATAGGTAAAATACTTCTAGAATATTCGTAGCTAGGCTATGTAGATAGATACGGCTGCGCAGTAGTGAAAGATTCCAGACGCGTCGCGGGTACGCGTCTGAACACTGCATCAGCACTGCAAGTGGCCGTACATCAAGGGGTGGGAAATACTACGTTTCGGCCGAAACATCATTGTTGTATCGCCACTAAACTCGAGACAGAAGTCGAGTTTACGGAGTCTACGATATGACGGTAAGTAAGCCATATCCATCACATTAGCCCCCCCAGACTCCGTTAACTCGAGCTTGTCTCAATTTACGGAGTCCGCATGATCTGAAGCGTAGAATCAATCCATACTTCGGCAAAGTACAACGATCGACATAGGTCAATAAATAGATAAATAACTGTGGGCGAAGAAATAGAAATAAAGGCTGCTTGCAAATCTTCACAAACCCATGGATCGCAAACGGTCGACGATGCCGGAGAGCGCCGAGCTATCATCTTCGCGAGTATAACGAGGAACACACGTCGGAAGTGCGCGGTTGACAGCGTGCACGGGGTGGTTACGGGCGAGTGGCCAGACTGTAATATCTGTGTTGCCTACCCGTGTTGAGACCCAAATTTGTTCCGCGACCGGAGAGACCAAGCGCGCGCACGCTGTAATTCAAATTGAGTAAGGAAATTGAGTAAAGAAATGACCAGATACTGGGGCTGTGATATATCGCGGCCGCTAATCAGAAGAATAGGGCGATGTATTATACCGGGTAGTTAGAATCCCTCGCGATATATCGCATTAGAGGCTTACTTTCCGCGGGTAGAACAGTGCCCAGGCAGCGAGAGAGCTGCCGACGTTGGCGATATATCGCGTTAGAACTGTGCCGCGGAAGTTGGGCGATAGCGAGCACACGAGCTCGTCGTTGCTGTCGTCGAGCTCACATCGGTGGTCATTTACATCAAAAAGGGTTTTGTTTGGCTACATACCATACAGATTTCGGGTAGATACAGGTTAGATACGATACGGCTAGATACAAATGTACTAATCACTATTACGAGAAGACAAGATGAGTGAGTGAATATCGGCCAGATGTAAAGGAGCGTCGAGAGGGACTCTGGAGGAGGATTAAAAAAAGAAAAGAATGAAAAATGAAAATGCAAACCTGGTAGGATTGCTCTGCCCGAGCGACGTCAAAACCCGGACAGCTATCTCGTCTAGCCGTCCCAACCCGCCGATTTCCGCCAGCGGCCAGAACTCCCGATGGACGACGCCGCAACCGATCCCCAAGCACAACGTCTTGAAGCGTTGCACCCCGCCGTCGAGGAAATGGAGGTGGACCAAGCGTTCTGTAAAAAACACGTTAATCGATGAAAATTCACAAAAAAAAACACTTGCCGGCCAGACAACGCTTGTCGGCTTGGTAATACCAAAGCCAGATGTGTTGTTGAAGTCCACCGCGGTCGCACTTTCGATACGCACGTCGCCGACGAGCCAAAGACTTCGTGTGCCCGATTTTGATTTGAATTCGAGCGAGTAGCGACTCGGCGTCGAGTTTTTTCGAGCGGTACGCCTCGATATCGCGAGTGGAGACGCGGGCGACAACGTAAATCGTCGCCCCGGGTTGCGTTTTCGCGTCGGCTTCGTACAGACGTCGATTTTGGAGTCGGGTCAGCATCTGGACTTGTTGCCAACTGTGCGCAGTTTGCGGCTGAATTCGTCATGAAAAGGTCACTGGGAGCGTGGTGGGGGCATACATAGTCGCCAAACGACTCGACTTCGGCTTCAGAACGCGGGGGAAGGCCGGCATACACGTTTGGGACCAATATGAGAAAAAGAGGAATTAAAGGGAATTAAGCCAGGGAAATTGAGCAAAAAAGTGGTAGAAGTGTTCTCTGAGCGCAACGGTATTGTTCCGAACCGTCTCCGGCGCCGAAACGGGCAATTTGAGCTGGATGGAGGCGCCAGGTGTCGACGACGCGGCGGTGAGCGGGAGGTTACGTAATCGGATCAGCGGTCGTCCCGAAATGGTCGGGTGCCAAAATCCCGCCGAAATCCCGACACATCGTCGGTGCGCGTCGGTGACGGCGGC